TTTTCAATCATATTTTTTAGATAATTTTCCAAAAAGTAATATACTTAATTTAGATTAAGTTAATTTTAAGAGTATACAAAATCAGTCTTTTTTTAAATTAGTTTTAAAATAAGATTTTTATAATTTCTTTTAATTTATATTTATTTTATATTTACTATTATTATAATAAAGATTTACTACACTTTAAAAATAAAAAAATTTTTGAATAATAAAATACTTTTCTAATTATAGTTTTTTGGTAGATGAAGAAAATGATGAAATTTATATCATTTGAAAAAATAGACATACTACAATAAAACCAGACAAAGTGAACATTGGTATTACCAAGAATTTCAGGAATTAAAATTTAGTCATTATTATCACAATTATAATGTGATTATATTTTAATATCCCATTTGTTATTTTAAGTGATATATAGAATTACCTCTATATAAAAATAGTTAATATGAAACTCATTTATATTAGATCTACTATAGAATCCAAAAATTACAGCATCATTAAAAGTATTTTGAAAAAGGAATAAGATGAAAAAATTACACCTTACATTTTCAAAATAAATGATACCTAGTCACTGGAATCTTATCTAAAAAAAGAAAAAATTATCTATGAAATTTATCAAGAAGAAAGAGTTTTCAAAAGAGTATTAGAGAATTCTAGTAAAGAATCAAGAAAAAAAGAAAACTGGCAAAATAACTAAAACAAATAATTACTTTTTTTTCAACTTTGTTAATTTTTAATTATCTTTTATTTTCAATCAAGATCATTTTTTAGTTTCTTTAACTTCAATTTAAGCAATTAGTTAAGTCTGCTGTTTCTTTAACTGTTTAACTTCACTTTCAAGTCTTTGAATTTTATCTAATAATTCTTACTTTTGCTTATTATACCAATCCTTTGAAACTTTTAAAGCTTTCAAATGAGAACTGATTTCTTTTTTAGCATTGGATAGTTACTGTTTTAAGTTTTTATTCTGCTGTTTCAATCTGCCAACATAACTCTATACTATTATTTCTATTATGGTTGGGGTTTTAACTAGTTCATCTTTTCTTAAATTACAAAAATAATCTATCCTGTTTCTCATAATTCTACCACAATCATTACAACATGGTAGAATATCATCATCAAGAGCTTTTTTGCACTCAACACAGATATAAGCAATGTCATTGTAATCATTATTAGTTATATTGTAAGATATTATTTTGTAAATAGCAGTTAAATTTCTTTCTCTTTCAAAAGAACAGAAATTATAATGCCATTTATTCCCTCTTCTTAACTCATTAATTTGATATTCTAATTTCATACTATTTATCCTTTTGTAAAATATAGGTGTTGAATTTTTTTCTAGTTATTTCTTTTACTTGGTTAACTCTGCTCTTTACTTTGTTAGTTAAGGATTTAAATTTGCTTTCTTTTTTTGATAAAGTTGGCAGTCCTTGAAGTTGCCTATTTGTTAGATAATTTTGTCATGCCATAATTTTTTCTAACAACTCTATTCGCATAGAAGCTTTTTTTAAGTTATCATCTTTTTCCTTATTTTGTCTTATTCTCCACTGTATAGCTACTTCAAGAGCCTCTAAATAACATTCAGATGTTTCTTTCTCTAATTCTAATGCTTTTTCTAACTCCTTTTTCTCTTCTTCTAATGCCTTAATTTTCTCTTCAAATTCTTTCTTTTGTTCAATTTTTTGAGCAGTTAAATCATTAATTGTTAACCAACTTCCTGAATATTTTGAAACTAAATTATTTAAATAATTAATAAACCCTTCTAATATTTCTTCAATTGTAATGTTATCAAATCAAATTCTTTTACAGTTTTTAGCTTATTCCCTAGTTTCATCAGGATCTACTGCCATTCTTAATTTCTCTTATCCATTCACTTCTTATTTAGTTTCTTGTATCATCATGTTCCCCTAGAAGCATAAAGGTTAACTTCACCCTTGTCATTAAGAGACTGACTAGTAATATGTCAGATTTTTACTTTAAGGTTTTCTTCTTTATCTGCAAATTGCTTTTTTTAAGTTTTTATTTTCTTCAATTAATACTTTATTTGCTTATTGTTGTTCTTTTAGAATATTTATTATAATATTATTTATTTATTCTTTTAATATATACTTATATTCTTTCTATAGAGATATAAATTATTTTAGTACTTTTTTGCTTTAAAAATAAAAAAAGCTAACAATATTTGTCAAAAGATTAAACTTATTAAATATAATAACAGTAAGGGATAAATTAACAAGTATGTTAAAGTAATGAAGGTGTTTTTGTTCTAAATATTTTATTTGTTGCCAATATAGAATGGTTTTGGACAAGTAATATTTTTGTATTCATTTTTCACAAATAGACGAATATTATGATAAAGATACTCTTGTCTTTTGTGATTCAAAGGAGGTAGTGTTAACACTAAAATAGATAAAGCATTAATCTCTTCAAAAATATCTGCTCTTTTAATTTTTAATAAATTAAATTCAGTAAAAGAACCATTAGCAACTTCTTGAGTTTTAACAACACCAAGATTAGATGCTTTAAAATGAAAATGTTGATATCTTTGCAAGCCATTTAGCTTCTTAAAATAAATTCTAAAAATAGACTTGATATCTAAATATTGAAAACCTTTTCCAACTTCATAATATTGAGTTTTATTCAATCCTGCTAAACTAGATCTTTTTATCATATCAACCATATAATCTACACAATCTAATTTGTTTTTCTATAAAGTTTTTTTTTTTTAACAATGTGGCACTGCCAGTAACTTTATTAAATTTATACAAAGAAATACAAAGTAAATCAAATAAATCTAGACTAAGTACTAGCTATCCCTGTAATTATATTACAAACCCGTTTGAATTGACCAATCATCGTCTTCCCTCTCTAACTCTATAAAGTTTTTTAATCAATCTAAAACTACCATCATATTTGAATTTGATGTGTTCAGAAACCATGAAATTTAATTCAATACTTTTATAATATCAACAAATTACTAAATACAAGTAAAATCAAATTGTTACATTGTTTTTATTTTGACCTCCAGCATTATCACAAATAATCTTTAAATGCTTTTTACCTTTATTCAATTTCTTAATTCCATCAAAAATCATGTTAAGAGTACCATTAAGACCTTTCCCTATAATTTCATTTTCATTAAGAACATAGTTAATTTGTTCCCTTACTGCTTTATCTTGAATACCAAATAAATGAACTTTATATAGACTGAGATAATAGATTTTACTTACTTGTTGATCAAAATAGGGTACATGAATATTTTGGACTCAATCATAACTATAATGTGCAGTAACATCAATATTGCAATATTGTGCTTTACCCTTTGAATAATTTTGATTAACTAATTTTCTTTACTCTTCTGCTAATTTGGTATTTTTATTATAATAATTTCTTTTTAGTTTGATCTTGAACAGATGTTTTTTAAATCTTTTGAGTAAATCTTTAACTTTTTCTTCTTAGCGAGCATTATAATGTAAACCATCTTTAAAATGTTGACAAGTATCATATAGGTCAGTTCTTAGACTCATAATTTGAATTTCTGGTATCAATTAATGTCATAATTTTCTGAAAGCATCATATTTTAAAGATTTCAATTTGTTATCTTTTTCCAGACTGGCCAGAAAATCTCTGTACACTGATTTATAACTCATTTTAGCTGGTAAGAATACAATTGATTAAGTTATTCTATTGATACTTCTTCCTGGACTTGGTAATCCATGGACTTCTGCATAATTTTTCAGAAAATTCTTTATTACTTCAGCAACATTTTTATCAATTACCATTTTAGTTTTCCATTGAGGCATTCTTTTAATATTATCATAAATCCTTACTAGAAGACCATTATTTATCAGATGACTTCTGATATTCTCAAAATAAGTTCTACCAATTCTCAACATATTGAGATAAGTTTCTTGACAAAGGAATATATTGTGATCTCAATTATAGAAAGTTCTTTTATTAGATCTGATTTTCTTTTTAAGGCATCTACTAGTGTTTATTGATCTACTATTTATTATCTTAAGTTGAGCCATTAAAAATATGTCTTGTTTTGATTTAGAAAGAGCTTGAAAAGATTCTCTTAATTCTGCAAAATTTTCCTTGAGAATTCTTGAAGAACAATCACATTTACAACCTTTTTCTAAAAAATCAATTACTTTTTGATATTCATTAGAACTATTATACTTATTATTTTTATTATTACTTTTCATATACATTTATCCCTATATATATAATTTTATGTTCACTTTGTAGTTTTTTATAACTGTTTTAAAATTGAAAGGAAGTATATGAATGGAATTAAACTTAGATAAATCAATGGAATAGTTTTACATAATGATTTAAAAGATATGATTGTGATGTAATTTGTGAAGAGAAATTGAAAATTTGATCAATTGGTCCAGTATCTAAAATTGAATGATGGATTTGTATTACATAAAAATGCGCACATTTGGTTGATAACTAATAAAAAATTTTTTATTATTATTGAAAATTTACAACAGGATGCAATTTATTCCATTTTTTAAAATATTTTATTTATATGAGTCAACAATTCACTTAAGATCAATTTTGAGCTGTCATATTTATCAGAGAAACTCAAGTTTTTTCTGTGAGAATGCATTAACGATAGAATCATCTGTATGCTGAGTGCCATTACGTTTAAATTTTTTTTTAATTTCAATAAAGACTCTATGTGTTGTTATAGATTTATGACATGGCTCTAACCAAATGTATAAGAGTGTATCAGTTACAAATTACTATAAGCAATACCATAACCACATGAATAAGATTTGTTACCTTGAATGTAATTATTATTCGTATAATATTAGATAAATTCTTTAATTATATAGGTATATTAGGAACCACAAACCCATTAAATTGGTTAATAATATAAACCCCATTAACCCAATGTATAGAATAAAGAAAAACATCTCTCTTTATGTAAATAAATGTATATTTTGAGATTAGTAAACTACTACAAACATAATATTTAATAAATTATATTACTCACTGTACACAAGAATTCTATATGTTTCTAATTTTTCTAGATTTGAATCATTTTCTGAAAACAACTTCCAAATATTGAAGAGAGCCAGTTGTATAGCTGGCAGTTAAATTCTATTGTTAGTGGTTTTCATAATGATAGAAATCAAGTTTTCATTTCACCTTACTCTTAAGAATCTTTGTACGATCTCTTCTCATTTTTACATCATCATGATAATAAGCATTCCTAACAACTTCCCCAAAAGCTATCTGAATTTCTGTGTGGTTAACATTCATTAATAAAACTGCATTATGAAACCAGCTACCAGAATTTATTTTACGTTTGTCTAAATATCTTTTCAATTCCAACTGATTTTTTCAATCAGTATTTTCGATCTTGCCTCTTATTGGAAATAAATATAAATAAAATGAGATATATAGATTTTTCAGCTAAACAAAAGAAAATCACTTTACATGTTCATCTGAATCACTCCATTTAAATCCAAAAAAATTTCCTCCCAAAATCTATTTATAATTCGACTGCAGTATGCATGTTCTGATGTATTAGCATATGCTAAAGGGCTTATGGGTATGTGGAAACCATCAAGCTTATCAATTATAGATATGTCATTAAGATGTTATTAGTTAATAAATAATGAACAATAATAAATTATAATTAGAGGTATTCTTACAAAGCTGTGTATACTTGTTGAATCCACCTCAGCATCCAATCTCTTGCAAATAAGTATGAAGGATTATTTTCAAATGGTGCTTGACTGATAATGACCTCAACTTTATTCAAGTCAATATAATATCCAATGATATTTTGTGAAATAGCATTATCATATTTTTCTAAAAGTAATTGTAGATTATGTTCAAATACTGGAAGCAAACCCTCAATTTTTTCTTCTATCTAGAATATATTATTCATTCAATATAAAAATAGAAATTAAAAGAAATTAAAATTAACTGCAAATAAATTAAGACGTCACCTTTCTTCAGTTTGATTCCATTACTATCCATTCTTGATCAGTAAATAGGCACTTAATTGAATCATACAGATGTTCTTCAAATAAGAATATAATTTTATACCTTGTAATTCCATTTTTAATGCTAAAAAGTCTCTCAATAGCTGAGTTTTTCAAAATCTGTGACACCAGAAAAAAAAAGATTTATTATATGTCAAATAGAGATAAAGTATAAGGAAGATAAGATACTAGACCTGTATAATTTTCTCAGAATATTCTTCGTACTCATTGTCATTATCTTCATTTATATCTTTGTTTTCAATTTCCAATGTACTTTTATAGAAATAAATTTCAATTTGAAAAGTAATCTAGAATAAAAAAAAGAGAATAAAATATCAAGCTTACTCAAATGTGTTTAGATCGATATTAGATTCTATGTTCCTATTAATTGAACCAGAATCAAGATAAATCAAGAAATATTAGAGAATATCAATAACTCAGTGTCTTTAAGAATGCTGATAGCAATAATAACAAAAATATGCTTACAAACTTCATAATTTTGTTGCATTGCAGCAACATCAACTGGCATCAACTCCATATCTTGTTTCTTTTATTCTATACCCTTATCTAATACAATTTTTTTTCCTTTAAAGTCAAAAGTAGTGAGTTCATTTCTAATGTACTTATAAAATCCTATTACTATGGCTGTATGTTCTTACAGATTTTCTGACCGAATCAGATAATATGGGTTAGTAACTTTTAAAGATATAAATAGCATAGCAATATTAATTAATAAAAAAAAAGCATCTTTATCTCAGCAAGTCATACAGTTTCTTGACTCTTTACTTGTGCCAGTTGAAGGGTTTCCTCATTTTTTGTTTGATTTAGAGTCTTCAATTACTTAAAATAATTGTTTCTATTTCTAGTCAACTTTCAAGACTACAAAATTTTACAGAGAATCAAACTTTAAAATTACTCTTTATATATAGGAGATTATTTTATACATGAGATTCATAGCAAACTAATAGTTCAACACCCAGATAACTAATAGTTCTGTAATGTGTCACAGAAGATTAAAGACATTTCTGAACTACAGCGAACTAATAGTTCAATACTCAGATGACTAATAGTCTCGTAATGTACCATAGTCTAACACTAAATAAAAATTAATACTTGCCTCTAGTTTCATATATATTTGATCAGCCTTAAGCTTGATATCCTCTGAAATGAAACCATTACTTACACACTGAATAGCTTTTTTCATATAATCTAAGATTCTTTTCTTATCACATAAAATGTTGAAGATACACCATTCAGCTAGATTATCAAGAGATCAACTTTCAAGAGGAGTTTCATCAAAATATTTGGCTATAAATGAATAATTATTATTATGTTATTTTATTGTTATTTTATTACTATTACTATATTAATATATGTGTATCAGAGTATCAGAAAATTTCTTGTTAATGCATCTTATTAAAATGTTATACAACATACTAATACTAAATATAATGACTTGAGATCTAAATTCTAAAAATAAATGATTCGCAAAGAAATGTAGAATTTAATTTTAAGAACAAAGTTTTCTAATATATAATGTCAAATTGTAAATAAAATGCACAAGAACATTGATTGATCACATCTTAGTTGTTTTATAATATAGAAACCACTATGATTACTATACATGTTGACAAAATTCAATCAAGAAAATTCAAAACTTTTGAAAAAATACAACCAATTCTCAAAATCAAAATATCCCTAGTGAAATCAAAATCAAATTACAATTTTTACTCATGATAGTGATTAATTAATAATGCTTGGTAAAAAAAATCATTATGTGTTAATTAGTTAATATATATTTATTAATATGAAGCCTTAAATTCTATTTAATCATGTGATTAATTATTAATATATATTTATCACGAAATTTTTCATTGAATAAATAAAAAAGAAAAATTAAATTTCTCTTAACAACAAAATTTTATTATATATGTATATACAGTGAAACTTCAGTATTTGACATGAAAAGTGATTCATATTTAATAGGCAAAAGTAATTGGATTAGTAAAAAAATAATCACATTATTATTATTATTACAGTTTGTAATGATAATGACCAATTTTGATCCCTGAAATTTTTGGTAATACTAATGTTCACTTTGTCTGGTTTTGTTGCAGCATGTCCCAAATATAAAAAAATATTGTAAATATTTTTGTGATGCAAATTTAGATTATATTCTTAGTTTGTAGAGGTTTGCAGACAAATTTGCCTGCTTATTTACTACAAATTCCCTTCTGATTTACTTTTATGAAAAATTAAA